AACGGACTTCCAGTAAAAGAATATAAGTTCGTAAAGTTACTTAATTATGTTTAGATTATATGGTCCTATTTAAGTTTATTTTTAGTAATTGGTATGCTCCCCGCCTAGCCAATTAGGGGCCGGAAATGTAGGAGCCATATGTTAAAATGTATATTTGAATATTGTAAACCTTTGTTATTAGTGATATCACATCATTTATTTGAACCAGCAGTGTGAAATTGACGGCATAGACGACCGCAGCTGTACGTGATTACGAGACGTTATAGCCAACGGCAGCTGCTGGTGATTGGGGTGTGAGAAGGAGAAAGAAGCACCGAGCAACATAGTTTTTTGACCTGAGAGAATATGTGTTTGTATTTGATACTTTTTTGTGTAAGTAAAAAACAAACTATCCTTAGACGTATTTTGTCCGAGTCAAGCTTATTTGCTATCTGTGAGCCGAATTTTGGATTACTGGAACTACACTAATAGATACATTTCATATAACATTAACAGCAATCATCCCTTCATCAGAGCATTTATAGCAGTGTTGGGACTAACACGTTACAACAACGCGTTAACAAGTACTGTAATAACAGTACTGAAATTAAGGCAATAAGGGCATTAATGGGAGCCCTTTTTTTAAGTAACTAATGCGTTACTGTTCACAGTAACGCATTTTGGTGTAAGTAATCAGTAAAGTAACTGAGTTAATTTTTAAATGAAGTAACTAGTAATGGTATCTAGTTACTGGTTTTCAGTAACTAGCACAACACTGTTCATTAGTGACATTATTTTCCACTTTTCAACCACATCCCTCAAACTAACACTTTTACTTGTAATAAGTGTTATTACAGCTTACATATTTCATGTAGTTCTGTACGCCATTCTGTTGCAGGTAAGACGGTGCTTGTGTTCTGTAAAACCTCTCTGTGGAGTCCAGGTAGGCTTTCTCAAAGTTATCCCTGTAGATCTGCAGCTTGTCCTCTGGGTTGGAACACAGGTTCACTGGGGGGACAAGAGCATATTGAACATGAATATTTACAGTAGATCTACAGAAGAAGTGGTTTATTGATAAATTATTGTACTTATTTGTTTTTCTGCACCTATTAGCAATAATAATGCCTTCCATGTGTTGTCATATGGTTATCTTACCATAGGACTCCCGTACTCCTATGACGAGCTGCGAGTCGAAGGCCTCCCCCTGCCTCTCAGCGTGCACCAGCTTCATGGCGCTGTCCTGCAGGCGACTCTTAATGTTGGAGAAGATTGATTCGTTCCACGTGTCCAACATGAGCTGAAAAGTAGGTGAGGGCGGTCTAAGTTAGATCAGTAATAAATGTGTATCAAGAGGAACATCCATCCATCCATCTTCTCCTGCTTATCCGTGGTCGGGTCGCGGGGGTAGCAGTTCCAGCAGAGAGCCACAAACTTTCCTTTCCCTGGCCACATCAACCAGCTCTGACTGAGGGATCCCAAGGCGCTCCCAGGCCAGCGAAGAGATATAATCCCTCCACCTGGTCCTAGGTCTACCCCTTGGTCTCTTCCCAGCTGGACGTGCCTGGAACACCTCCCTAGGGAGGCGCCCAGGTGGCATCCTAACTAGGTGCCCGAACCACCTCAACTGGCTCCTTTCGACCCGAAGGAGGAGCGGTTCAACTCTGCCAGCCACCCTGCGGAGTGTTAAATTGCTTTGGTTTTTTATGATTTAAGGTCCCTTTACTACGGAAACCCATCCATGCCAGTGGAAATTAAAGATAAAAAATGAGCCTTGTGATGAAAAAAAGATGACTCAGTATCTAAACATTGTGAGGAACTTCCTACAGATAATGATTTAGTCGGTCAAAAATAATGAAACTTTTGAAACATTATAACTCAAGGAAATTTTTCAAAAGATATTCACTTTTTTATTTTGAAACATTAAGATGGTTTTATTTTCCATCACATTGGAGGAAATGGGTTTCCATACTTTCTTGTAACCCCATCTCTTACTTCATTTGATCATTTTACCATCAATTATCCAAGAGTGGTTCGGCCTACCTGCTGCTCCCCTCTTCAGGTATTTATTTCCTCATCACATTGTTGAGCTTTTAGTTGCTCAGCTTCCCTCTCCCCATCCTGAGCCCCTCCTCGTCTCACCTTCCGTACAATGCTGTCCTCCATGTTGGTTTTCTTGTTGGTGCCCTGTTTTCCCATGAGCGTGATCTCCAGCTGACAGAAGGGTTTGGGCAAGATGTCGCACTGGGTGAAGAACTTCCTCCACTCCACGATGTAAGCCTTCAGCAGTGCGGTGTCATCCTGGTGGCTCAGAACCCGCTGCCATGACAACAAATACCAGCAACAGTTAGAGGATATAGAACAAATGAATACTGAGAATGTTATTTCCCTGCAATTATTGTTCTGCATGTTATTGTCTATAACGTTTGATGAAGCAAATGTGTTAATGAGAGGCAGCATCTAGACCACATGTGTCAAACTCAAGGCCCGGGGGCCAAATCAGGCCCTTGGTGGATTTAATTTCGGCCCGCAGGATAATTTCGAATTACTATTAGATCTGGCCCGTCGGTATATTGCACGCACACCTTCACTCAACCCTGAGGGTTTCCTCAGCTCAGAGCCTGAGCTCAAACATTGATGAACCCAAGATGAGAAGTATCTGCTTGAACTAGCATCACAGAGCAGCACACTGAGTTTAATGGATGTTTCCTTCTGCACATTTTCTCTCACGACAACAGGGCATGTTTGGTTTTCTCTTTGAGGGAAATAGTTTTGTTGAAGCTGTTGTTGGCCTGTGGAAAAATGTAATCATAAGAAATGACTCCGGAAAAGCTGCAGATAGAGCCATAAGAAATTAATGCAACTGATTATTTAGTGTTTAATGTTGTTTTTATAGGAAATAATTTAAGCTTTGTTAGTTCCATGTGCAATAAGTTCATTCCAATAAGTTTTTTCAATAAACATTGAACCAGTCCGGCCCTCGACTAGTATCGATTTTTTTATTTTGGCCCACTGTGTATTTGAGTTTGACACCCCTGATCTAGACTATGGACCTGTGCATTCACTTTATTATAGAGTATGGATGCTCTGTGGAACAATGCTGGAGTGTGTAGAGCTTTGGAAGGCCCAATCTATCCATCCTCCTCTTCTACTTGAGCAACTGCAAACTGGGGCACAGTCCTTCATGCACCTTGTGATGTGCTTAACAGGGACCATTTCTATTTTCCAAACAATTAATGTGTTTTTTTTGTAGTATAGTGAAGTCCACACCAAATCGAAGCTCTTTTGTTCTTAAGTGGATAGGTATATGTTATAGATTTGTATAGGTTCATTTGACAAAAGTAAAGGTAAAAACAAGACTGCATTTACAGCATTGCAGTCATACCATTCAGTTGTGGAGAACACAGACACAGTACAGTAAAAGCTAACTTCCATTGTGGACCTTTTTGACTTAAAGGCCCAGATACACCGGCCAGTCACCTGAGAAGTCGCCGACGCCAACACCGACTGTTGCGTCGCCGGACTCTCCTGCGTATTTGCCGACTTCGCGCACTGGAACACACCGCAAATCCGAGCCGAGCACGTATGAACTGCGTATGCGTGAGTGGCAATAACTCTCCTTACCAGCAGGCGGCGGTAGTGTGTATTCATCATTCAAAAGAGGCAACAACCGGAGGACAGAGAAGAAGAACAGACTCCGTGATATAAACAAACAACAAATAGCGTTTTTCTTTCCGTTTTCACTCTCGTCCATTGAAAACATGAACGAACAGGAGCTCTATAAACCGGTGAGGTGAAATAGCCGTCCGTGTGTGTTCCATCTTCCATTTTAAATCATTTGTTTACCTCCCTCACTTCCGTTAACGCTTCTCATGCACTGATTCGCTAGCTGA